ACATTATTTATTTAGTAATAATAAATAGCGAAAAATGGAAATAAATAATTGCTTTTGTAATATGCCTACACAAAAACTTGTATATTTTTATATACTTTTTTTATTTACACAGAACAGGGGGCAAACGGGCAGGAGGCACACCTGATCCTAAGTGATACCGCCGCCCATGGACACTCAATGCCAGAGGGCTCGCGAGTGCGTTGCCGGCCCGAAGTCGAACTATTTTGCTTTATTCTAGGATATCGTTAAGCCGAAACTGAATTAGACTGGCTAATTCGTGTTAAAGGCTCATATTGAATCGAAATCTATTCCATAAGCTAGGGACAAAAAAACGTTCAATTCGAATTTGTTAACATGTTATAAACAAAAAAACGTGTGTGTACTTATGTACACGCGTTAGAAGTTATACTTCTTTGGCGTAACAAGATAAAAATCCTTTAAAAAAACGACACTAACAATAGAAAAAAGGTATTTAATGCATTGAAAATTTTATTATAACGCATTATCTAGTTAAATAAAGTTTATTTAAATACACAAGAAATTATTTCTTCATAATTAAAGAAATGGACATTTTTTGTGACAGTGTGCGCGCGCCTCGTAAAATCGTAAAATTTACTTTCATCATTTTCCCTTACACGCCAAAAGAAGTATAACTTATATAAATACACCAAGGGTGGCGCTATGGTATGGTTTAGTATGATTGGTGCCGTGGTGAACTTAGTGTGCGCAATGAGACGCTCATTAGGTCCGTTATACGTAAAGTCCTGGCTAACTTAGCCTTCCTCCCAGAAGCATATAAGTCTCCGGGGCACGTCGCTGGCTTCACGGAGCAACCTCACTGCTCCGAGGCATTAAAAACTAAATAATTTAGCGCCTGGTAGAATATTTGCTGTACCTATACCGAGGTGCTGTCATAACCTGAAATTTCAGTTGTAATTGCTTCAAAATTATCTTAAAAGATATGTTTATATGCATATGCGTAATAAGAAGGGAGATTTATGCCCAATATCAAGAAAAGTTAGTTGCTACTTTTCACTAGATGGCGTTGATAGTCGAATAAAACGCGCTAGCGTTTCGCCTATATACAGCACTAAGTACTTATTGATTTGTCTTATAAATTGGTATATAATCTATTATTTTAAACAATAAAATTTTTGCAAAGCAATAGTTGTCTATTGCTCTTAAGTCTTAACTTAGTAGTTAGTTTATGTTAGCAATTGTTAGCACTTACTACTTAGTAATATGCGACTGTGTCACCTAATTATAGGAATTAGTTAAGTACTCTTTGAATATGCTATTGGTCCACAGAACATTCACTGAGCATTAAATGTTGAAACTTATGTAAATATTAAATAAAGAACTTTTTTAAAGCAATGCATAGATAAAAAAATACAATTTGGGTATTTTTAATCCAGTACTCACTTAAACTTTATAATAACTTTTTACACTAAATTTATTTACTATTTTTCAATTTTTTTATTCACTATCAATATTAGGACAAAGTTATTATTAATTAATCATAATTATTCTAGAGCCAGGGGCTTACTCGAATTTACCAATTAATATAAAACAATGCGCGCCGAGATTATTACATATCAATTAACACCTAATAAATTAAACATTCTTCAGTGCGAAACTGAGAAAGAGAACTTTTTTCCCTATTTGTCTATACATGTAAAATCTGTCAATGCTTAAAGATGCTTAACACTTTTAGTATGAGGTCTATTATTTCGTAACTAGATATCAGTATTACCTACTCCATACATTAGTAAGAGAACGCGTCTCGCGCTTCAGAGTATTTCGTGTTGTGGATTGAAATAGCTGCCGTAATTAGTATGGCATAAGGTAGAAATTTATTTGGCGCTTGCAAGGGTTTCACGCACACATTAGTAAAAGAATGCGTCTCGCGCTTCAGAGTATTTCGTGTTGTAGATTAAAATAGCTGCCGAAAGTTGTAAGGCATAAGGTAGAAATTTATTTGGCGCTTGCAAGGGTTCCACTCACACATTAGTAAAAGAACGCGTCTTGCGCTTCAGAGTATTTCGTGTTGTGGATTGAAATAGCTGCCGTAAGTTGTAAGGCATAAGGTAGAAATTTATTTGGCGCTTGCAAGGGTTCCACTCACACATTAGTAAAAGAACGCGTCTCGCGCTTCAGAGTATTTCGTGTATGTTGTGGATTGAAATAGCTGCTGTGAGTAGCGTCGCATAAGGTATAATTTATTTAGCGCTTGCAAGGGTTTTCGTGAAACGCCTTAGTGCTCAAATGTGGGACTTAGTATGTACAAGTCTCGAGCGAAACCTAGTAATAAAACCTGTGATTTGATATACGCCTCACCTCTAGCACTTAGCCCTGTGGCAGATTGTTTTGGAGTAGGGGTGTGTCATGTGACATTCTGCATAAAAAATCGATTTTTTAATAATCGATCATTTTTTTAGCATGAAAAATCGATTAATAAATAATCGATTTTTTTATTAATCGATTTATTCCAAATTTTTGAATTAATTTCAAAATAAACACCCTAAGGCCGTTTCTCCACTGCTCCGGTCCGGCAAACGTTAATTACCGATCCGATTTAGAAACTCACAACAGTACTTACGTGCTTCTCCACTACTCCGGCATCCGGTTTTTAACGATCCGCTAACTTGCTAGATCGGAACGCTGTGTTTTATCGGTCCAAGTATATCCAAGAGGTTATAAATTATTATTCATAGGTTTATTTATTTATAGTTATATTATATAATTAAGTATTAGTGAACTATTTATTAAGTAGATTATAATATTTCAAGATAGACAATATAAAAAAGTAATAAACTAGCCAGGGCAATAAAATATTCAGACGTTCTAAATTCTGAATATTTTATTGCCCTGGCTAGTTTATTACTTTTTTATATGTATTGTCTATCTTGAAATATTAAAATCTTCTTAATAAATAGTTCACTAATACTATGGTATAAAAATATAAATAAATAGTAACATAATTTGGTTTGGTCCATGTTATGCAGATTTTTTTCAAATTCAAGAAACTATAAGTAAACCTGGGAATAATAATTTATAACCTCTTGGATATACTTGAACCGATAAAACACCGCGTTCCGATCTAGCAAGTTATTGGAACGTTGAAAACCGGATGCCGGAGTAGTGGAGAAGCACGTAAGTACAGTTGTGAGTTTCTAATTCGGATCGGTAAATAACGTTTGCCGGACCGGAGCAGTGGAGAAACGGCCTTTTTTTATACATATTACCTACACATTGTCTATGCTTGAAACTGAAATGCATTTTCGAGGATTCCTACAAAAAATTAATATTTTTTTTATTATTCTCGAGGGCTTTGTGTACTTTTGCTGACAAAAGAGAAGGGGGGGGGGATAAATTGCAGTAAATCTGCTTACGTAATACCTGAACGGCCCCTGACACACCGTCGACTAATCTGGAAAGGAATTTGTTCCGTCCGGTGTAAAACGAGTGTTAAATGGGGTACAGCCGGGGATCGAACATACGATCCCAGGGATGAGAGTCGCACGTTGAAACCACTAGGCCAACACTACACCGCATTAAATAATTTGATTGTGCTATAAATAGTGCAGAATTAGTATCAGATAATTACGTAATAACTAAAGACAGAAGGTCCCTAGTACAAGTAGCGGCACGAAACTCTAGCGCTGACCGTTATTGCGCAGAAGTAAAAAATAAGGTACCTGAGAAGGGCTAGCGGATTGAAGAGCGTCGATTGGCTCTCCAGTCGCATTCCGTCCCCCGCGCGACAGTACACATGCGCAGCAATCCCCTCCACGTATCGGCCAGCGCTAGACTTACGTCATACGTGCCGCTTCCTATAGGTAGAAGAACTGCGTTCTTTTACAGACTTGGTTCTTTAACAAGTTATGTCCAATTTTCTACCTTGTAATTAATCAATTGGGAATCATCATATCAGCTAACAGACGTTCACTGTTGGATATAGGCCTCCTCTATATATTACCAAGAACGGCAATTGGGAATGATTTTACCCAATACATGGATATTTATGGTAAAGCAGCAACACGGTACAAAACTATTGCTGTTTCTTGGGCAGCCACGCTTGGTTACGTCTATAGGTATTTATGGGTATTTAACCTTAGCGCGGTCCCGACTGAAAGGCGCTCAAATTATTTAATACAGTTTCTCTGGATTATGTGTGAATTCCACGCTAACAAAATACCTATGCAGTTAATACTTGTAGATTGGTTCTGTAATCTACTGGTCCGAACAAAGTTTGTACTAGGTATATTGTGATTAAAAATGATAATAGTAATTCTAAAATTAATTTAATCTTCGATTTTTGAGATAAGCAATCATAGTGATTAAAATTGGAATTCGATATCATGATGATAATATTGTCATAATTGACATTGTTTGAATTAATAATACCGAAATAAATAAATTCATCTAAACTTGATATCTTTGTTCTCTAACGTAGTATGTAATTGCACTGAACTAGTTAAACTTGTTATTTAATTTTGACATTAATTGACCTGTTTCACATTTTATTTATACATTCAATTTTGTCTAATACTGAATATTGAAAAGTACCTACTAGTACACATATTTCAACTTTTAATATATACATATATGTATTAAAATTGGAATGAATAGGTAAAACTACGGCAAAATACTCCAAGTTCCAGAATGTTATTATAACAAAGTAAATATTACGTAACTGATAATTATACATATTATATATGTTAAATTAGAATATCTAAATACTTTCCTAGAGTCTAGAGTCTAGACTCTAGAGAGTCTAGAGTGACAGATATGATAGCTTCCCGCTCGTGTGATGACGTAACAATGAACTAAGCACTTTATTACGTCACGATGCATAAAAATATTTAATCAAATCCCAATTCCATTGGATCGTAAAAAACAACAGCTTGTACATATGCGGTAAACATATCTTTATTCAAATGATAAAATTGTTTGTTTGGTAATTATGAGAGTCAGTATTGTAAAGCATCGACGCCGAAATGACGTCGCTAAAGGTTAACCCCGACTTACAGAAAGAAAGATCAACTTGTACTTTCAATATCGAAGAACTTACGAATTTACTGGACACAGGAGCAGAACACACGGCAAAAAGACGGGCTTTAGGTATGTATAACAAATATTTTAAACGTAAAAACAAGTTTCACTGTTGGGTAATTTGGCGGAAATCGCGCAATGGCATTAATTAGGGAAATATTTGAAACGCCTGATATTTTTAGCTTAGCAAAGTTGTTTTTTGGTTGATTGCAACTTTTTAACTTTAGTGAAATTTATTTGTTCTTTTTCTGTTTCCTTAAGATTTTTTCAAAGCTAAAATGTTAAGCAATAAAAATTCTATCTAAGTTAGTACCGTGAACTTACTTTTATGATGTAACTTGCATACGAAGCCTGTGGTATCCATAGTAACAAATACCGTACTAACTAGTCCACGTTTTATAATTGTGCCAACGGTATTTTAAAAACATCATGCAGAGATGTAAAATGATGTTGACGCATTGGTACTAGAACAATAGGTTAGTACCCCTGACTGCGAATCCATGGGTCCCGGGTTCGATCCCCGGCTGAGACGAACATCGATGTGATGAGCATTTGGTGTTGTGCTTAGGTCTTGGGCGTTTAAATATGTATTTATATGTCTATCTATCAATAATATGTATGTATATCCGTTGCCTAGTACCCATAACACAAGCTTCACCAGCTTAGGCATGGGACTAGATGAATTGGTGTAAATTGTCTTAAAAAAAAAATATACTTTAATAATCGCTAATTAATAAAAATTAAATTAGACCAATTTAAATCAACTCATCTGTCTCTTTTCATCACAGTAAACACAATTTGACAACGTGTGTTAAAGTTTAAAATAATGTTAGTTGATTTTTACTTATTTCCATTTATTGTGGATTAACTAAATACTTAGATAATTTTAGAGGAAAAAATATTCAACTTAAAGGAATTGAAAGATGACGTTCCTGAAGAATTCTTAAGTCACAAAGACAAATATGAGAACGCGATACGCAAGGCAGTCATGCTGCATACCATTGTACAACGCAATGATCCCATAAAAACCAATGTTAATAATTTTGACAAGTAAGTTCTCTTCTATTTTTAAAAATCTCTCTGTCTCATCTACTTTCGTTTTCGTTTCGTGTCAGCTGGACGTTCCTCGTTCTACAACTGAGCGTTTTTCAGGCACTTTTTACCGCGCTAACCGTTATGGATATGTCAACGTAAAATTGTAAATACCGTTAGATTGTAATCTATCTCGCGAGATTGTGAACTGTCGAAAGATTGTGAACCTCAACGTACTGCTTACAATTTAACGTATTATTATTCGGTATAGATTGTAATATATCGAAGTGAAACCGTCAAATTACAATCTTAAAATTGTCAACTGTCTGAAGGCTGTCCCTGATTGTACGTTGAGGTTCACAATCTCGCGAGATAGATTACAATCTTACGGTTTTTACAATTTTACGGTGACAGATACAACTGAACCACTAAAGTATTTCCGAACCAACTCGACTTAGGGCCCTTAAGAACAACGCTGGTTTCTTAAAAGGCAACGCACTTGCGAGTCTTCTAGCAGTGTCAGTGTTCAAGGGCGGTGTCACATAACATCTGGGGAGCCTCTTGTCTGTTGGCCCTGTTCCATGAAAACATAATTTGGCCGACTTTAAATAGCTGTCAAGATTATATACCGAATACTTATCTCAAAAATGTATAAACTGATTTTGATAACCTTTTAAGATTGTCCCCTAATTTCGAATATAGGTGAATCCAAAAAAAATAACTATTTGTCACAAGTTGGCTTAAACAGATCATTTGATTTTATCCAATTCTAAAAATGTCACATTATCTGATGGCTTTCGTTTTTTTAAGCCAGTTAAAACAAATAAAAAATGACATTCAACTGCACAAAATATAAGCAATACATATAATAATATATATATATATCTACTATATAAAAATAAGTCGGGTTTTCCTTCCTGACGCTATAACTCCAGAACGCACGAACCGATTTTCACGGTTTTGCATTCGTTGGAAAGGTCTCGGGCTCCGTGAGGTTTATAGCAAAGAAAATTCAAGAAAAATTTCAACAGAAAAGCGGGATCACCAAACGAAATGTTACATAAAACGAAGCCATCTGGTGGCGAAACGGAGTTCGCCGAGTTTGCTAGTATATGTATATATATTCAAGGTGTATGAGGTGAATAACACGTGATTAGATATCTCAAATAACAAATAACATTATCTAAGCCTTTATCTGTACATACTTATCGATAAACAGGTTAGATATATATATAGTCCTTAATAAATACTAAGGAAAGGAATGAAGCAATGGATTTTTTGTCAGCCTTTGATGGAACCTATTACGGAACCAACCAGTTTGTTTTTCTATACTTTTCGATGTAAAGTTTTTTTCTGAAACCATGACCCCAACGAAAAGATTCTGTATATGTTTCGTTATCTTACTTGTCAAGTAGGTGATCAGCTTTCTGTGCCTGAGTCAAGCCGTCGATTTTTGGCAAGGCATACAAGTCCACACGATGTTTTAACTTTTAAGTCACTGTAGCGAGTATTGAAAAATGTAAAACGAGAAATCCAAGCACAGCCGTGATTCGAACGGACAACAACAACTATTACTAACTGTACTTGTATTGATTTCAACATGGGAGCGTGATCTATTGCACTCCCCATAATTCATTTGAAGGTTATGGCTGCGCAGGTACTCTCCCAATAACCGCGATCTTGTCGATGTTGAGTATTTACACCACGTATTTCAAGAATTGAATCGAAATTGCCGAAATTACCTTATTATTATTATTATTATGGCGTATTACTTATATGCCATACTTTCTTCTAGATCGAACTTTCGAAGCACTTCAAATTCGATTTTTAAAGATGTCTCGCCCTTTCTGTTACAATTTTCAATGTTCGTGCCTACAATTGTGGGACAGGGCGATGAGGAGCAGCGTAAATACTGGTTGGAAAGAGCTTTAAAAATGGAAATCATCGGTACATATGCTCAGGTAAGGTACAAATCTATAAGGGCTGCCTTTTTCCAAATTATGGGGCCAACAGACATCGCAAGGTACGTAGATGGTAACTGGTCGGATAGAATGTTTTTAATCTCTTTGAGAAAGTTTGCGCATCGTACGGGACGCGCGGGACACAAACGTCAACTGATTTACCAATCACGCGATCGACACGTCATTCTCCCGCCGCCGCGGCCGCCAAGTGATACCTAAAAATCGCTTCTGCGCACGCAAGGACATTTGTTCAAGATGTTTGCCGGTATATGTGTATGTTATAATTATTTTTATGTAATACTATTTTTTATTAACATATAATTAATAATATATTCACGTTTATATCCATAAAATATGTTTTAAATAAATATTGGGACGGGCTTTGGTATGGGATGCTACTTGTGTAGACTCATTAACCACAAAGCCTGCCGCGGGCGCAGAGCAGGCGGTAAACGGCAAAAATATAAAAATCTTTCCCATTTATCAATCTATCCCATTTGTGACCTCTTGGGGGTTTAATTGGCGCAAATTGGCGCCTGGTACCACTGACCCCAGAGCTGGTCCTTTACTTAAAGGTAAAGTCTAAGGTGTTTTCTGCCAGTCCCTTGCTTTAACTATACAACATCTAATAAATACCTGCGATAGTTTATTATATTTTTTACTTACGTTCCCTATATGTGATAATAATTAAATAATTCAAAAATATAAGTAATTTTAACGTCCGTACTGCATATTTATTTAAAACATATTTTATGGATATAAACGTGAATATATTATTAATTATATGTTAATAAAAAATAGTATTATACATATATAAAAGTTATAACATACACAGATACCGGCAAACATCTTGAACAAATGTCCTTGCCTGCGCAGAAGCGATTTTTAGGTATCACTTGGCGGCCGCGGCGGCGGGAGAATGACGTGTCGACCGCGTGATTGGTAAATCAGTTGACGTTTGTGTCCCGCGCGTCCCGTACGATGCGCAAACTTTCCCCCACTCCTTGTTTAATGCTCAAGAAGTTTGCCGGTATCTGTAACATGTAGAATGTTTCGTTCCTGGGCAATGTACCTTTAATGCTGGCACACTTCCTCGCTGTACTCGTATTGCGATACTTATTCGTTGAGTGCGGAAATAAATTCTGTTTATATTAAAGAAGTTTTATTTCAAATACCACGAGATTTAAACAGTATTAGTTGTTTTAGTGGTTTAACCGTTCCGTAACCTTGAGATCGTGTGTTCAAATCACAGGATTCGCAGGAAAACATCGTGAGGAAACCGGAAAAAAAAAATTATTTTAATTTTTTTCCGGTTTATTAATAGATACTTCTAAAATTACTTAGCTAAAAAAATAAATAAATCTAAATTCAATTCGTCTTCTCTTTTCATCACAGCGTAAACACAATTTTACAGAACGAGACAAGAGTGCAATTTTATAATGACGCAGTTTTAATGAAAGTATATAGTTAGTCTGAAATTTTGTACGATAATAAAGCTTTACTCTTTACAGACAGAACTTGGGCATGGAACTTTTATTAGGGGCTTGGAGACCGAAGCAACGTATGACGAGAAAACAGAAGAGTTTATTATGAATAGTCCCAGTCTTTCGTCATATAAATGGTGGCCTGGTGGATGTGAGTGAAAATATTTTTTATGAACTGAAGATAACAAATAGTTTTTTAATTATTTAAAAAATTGGTGTAAGTTAAAATCTGTTCAATCACCTGTCATTTTCATACAAAGGTCTATCCACAGACACCGATCCGACCTCCCATGGATAGCTATTACAATCCGTTACAAAATTACAATTGGCACATTTATTTACTCATATCATTATTATAATGAAAAATTAGATAATTATTACACTATTTTTATGTTAAGGTTTCGTTCCTGTGGTATGGTTCCTGTATTGCGATACATATTCGTTGAACGAGGAAATTTAATTAATGTTATACATTCGCGTTTATCTCTTAAATACTAGAAACGTATATAATTTCGTATCTTACTTTAGTTATCATAATCCCATTGTAAATGTTTTGGATTTGGATATGTCACCACTCGCAAATGATAATTAAAAAATTCAATACACGATTTAAATAACTTCGCTAGATTGAAAAAAAATCCAAACATATCCAATGTTTGACACTTTGAATTCATTATATGACGAAAATGTATATAGAACATGATTTTGAAATTTACACGATATATTTTATCGCAAGCCAAGTAATCCATTTCAGAAAAAATACATTAATTTAATGTTTTACATAACTAATTGTTATTACGGGCCGGCGCGCCTCAGTGCTCCAGCTCTCCACTGCGCCCCGCAGTCCACCCCCGACACACTGACACAGCAAATCGTGCTGGGATAGGCCCAGTGTGTACTTTTTTGGAGTGAGCGACCAGATCGGTCCTTAAATAAAAATAGTGCGTGGAGTCCCTCTGCGCGAAAGAAGTGAAACTTCGTAATGCGGAAATGAAAATAGGAAGGGCTAGAAATTGATTTTTAGTGAAACCTTATTGTTTCTTTAAGAGAAACCTTATTAACATTGCTAATTAAATAAAAAATACGATCAATTGTGAATTGTAATAAGTGATCGTATTTTTTAATTATCATTTTCGAGTGGAGACATAAACACGATCAATTATGCCTTTCTATTTTCGCATTGCCGATATCACATGACTGTTTCAGTGGGTCACACGAGTAACTACTGTATAGTGATGGCACAACTGAAAATAAAGGGAAAATCATACGGAATGAAGCCATTTGTAGTACAGATACGTGATGAAGAGACACATATGCCCATGCCGGGGGTGAAAGTTGGTGAAATTGGGGCAAAATTTGCGTTTAACACTGCTAACAACGGTTTCCTTGGGTTTGATAATGTTAGAATTCCCAGGCGACACATGCTAATGAGATTTTCTCAAGTATTGAAGGTACATATTATTTATCTTAATTCTTGTTAGTTATTACTGTATCAGTAGAAGTAGTGCTATCGTTTAGTCAAGGGATTCTCAACCCTAAGGTTTTACTTTCGAATCCCGGCCATACCTATGCATTTATATATGTGCGCTTGCTCGCGAAGGGACGAAAAGTGATGACGTGTCACGTACAGCTTTGGGATTCTGTAACTCACTTTTCGAACTCTCACAGCGGCGGTCGCGCTCAAATCAGTCGTAAAGCAGTCATTTTACGATTTGCCATTCTGATAAAAAATAAACTACAATCCTTATCAGAATGTTACAGAATCGCTAGGCTGAAGTCTGATCGGTGTCTATGCTCCTGTTTATTATATTCCTTATAAAGACGAAAATTGGGTATAGTTGTTGTTAATAAACTCAGAAACTACTGAATTGATTTCAAATTATTTCCCAATTGAATGCTACAATCTGAGCTATTCTCAAAATATAAAAAAAAACCTGTGGCACTCGGAGACTGCCGCGGTACAGCTATTGCATAGCATTTTATATACATTTTTATTTATGCAGTATTTTTTTTTCTTTGATATTAATTCAAGTTTTATCTTTGATATTAATTCAATCTACCACTCTACCAGACTCAGACTAACCCGCCTATATAGTCTGTCTCATTCTAACGCGTAGGTACCGGCCTCACCGGCCGCGCTTACGCTACGTCACCGATCTCGTCAGAGAGATGTGCGACGCAGTATGCGTTCTGTGCCGCTCTAACGCATATTGGCCGCACCTATATTACGTCATCGTGTGTTAGGTTTTTAGTTTCGTTACGGGATTCGGTCGCCGCGCTGAAAGCCCGCGATAAAATCTATGCAATAGCTTAAAAATGCCAGCCCTGAAACAGTAGCAGGGACAGCTGGCCAGCTTTAATACAACGTATGCAGAAATCTCGCACTTCTGCATAAAAGCGTAAATTTGTTAAAATGTCTGAGGTATCTTATTTTTTTGTTTTGTACCTTTCAGGATGGGACATTTAAATCATCATCCAATCCAAGACTCGCGTATGGAACAATGGTAATGGTACGTGTGACCATAGTTAATACTGCGTGTACCCTGTTGTCCAAAGCTGCAACTATCGCTATACGATACTCCGCTGTGAGACACCAGTCACAGCTCAAAGCCAAGTAAGAATTCTGTTAAAATTATTGATTCAAAGACTCATCCGACATAATACCTACATCATTGACTTAGTCAATTTTAGAGACTATTTTCAACTTTTAGACGTAGTTAAAAAAATTATACTAATACTTTTCTAAATTCTTGTAAATTTCCTCAAAATAAGGAATATTGAAATTTTGCTGTTTGGTTTTTATGAAGTATTCGATATTTTAAACTCTACAAATATAAATTTCATAATTTCCTAAAACATTTTCAGGAAAAATTTATAATTGCAATTGCCTATTGTTGCATGCTTTTGATGTATGTTCACAAAAGCAAGGAAAACTTCAAAAATTTTCCGCGTACTCTACAAACCAAACCCACTTAAACATGAAAGCTGTATAGATATATATCATTTTGTTTCAGTGAACCAGAACCACAGATTTTAGATTACGTTACACAGCAACACAAACTGTTCATCAGTATAGCAACAAGCCACGCCTACATGTTCTGCTCCTACTGGTTATGGGATCTGTACACAAACTATCACAATGAACAAAATGATGGCAACTTTGAAAGATTACCTGAGGTACTAGTTATACATACATATATGTCTAATGGAATGTTAGATAATAATAAAATAAATAAGTTCACAACAGGCTCAAACGACGAAACTATTGAGGGCACAATTAATAATGAAATAGATAAATATCAAAAGCGATACGATAAAGCAGATAAAATCTTTAAAATATAATTAAACTGTTTACAAAATTCAACAAAAAGTATTTAATTCCATTGAATACGTCAATGGAATTGAATGATACTAATCAGGCCGCAGCGGCGCGAATGTTAGATTTTTCCTTAGACATTTCAATAATTACCCTAAAATCTCAGGCTAATTATAATATTCTGGCTGGCTGCAAATCCAAATCATTTGTCACCTAGATCATCCAGATAGGTCGACGGATAGAAAAACGTTTACACCTCAAATTGATATTCTTCGGTTTCTCTAAAGTCAAACGGAATTCAAACGATACAGGCCAGGATAAATGTCACTCCTCCTTTCTCATATAAAGTATATGGTTTATTACAATATTTACAATTTTCTTTACATACAATAGAAGAAAATTAAAACAAATTTAAAAAGTTTGGTCCCCGTGGCAGTGTACCTTTAACGCTGGCAGCATTTCCTCGCTGTATTGCGATTGCGATACTTATTCGCCAAAATAATATTAAAAAAACTAAAAAACACGCTTTTAAAGCACATCAAACTAAAAAGTGAAAAATAATTCCTATTTTAGGCTGAAAATGGTAATGAACAAAAAATACTGGTTTTATTGTGAAAAAGCGTGGGTTGCTCGATAGACGAAAAATATGGCACACAAAAATAAACTATTATTCATTTTTTTTCGGATTATTGCATTGTCATCAATCTTTGACAGTTGCGCAAAGTTTGAATTAAATCTGTCCGTTGTTAAAAGTGGGTCAAAATCGAGTCCGAAGGAGTCGGTTACATACATACATACAAACATACATACAGGTGAAGCTAATATAAAGCGTGTAAAAAAGCACCAGCTCTGGGGTCACAGGTACTATCTACCAGGCGCCAACTTAAATCTTTCTTGAACACCACGGCCCAAGAACTAATTGAACCAGTTGAGTTTCTCACCTTAGTTTATTGTTTCAGCTCCACGCTCTAACGTGTGTCCTGAAGGTAATTAGTTCCACGGACTGCACAGCTCTTGTTGAGAGATGTCGAATGTCATGTGGAGGTCACGGGTACATGCTCTCATCAAACCTGCCACAGTTGTATAGTTTGTCCACTGCTGCGTGCACATATGAAGGCGAAAATACTGTGTTACTTCTGCAAACCGCCAGGTTGGTATTTATATTATAGCCTTCCGCATTAAATGTACTAGGGAGCGTTCAAGTATTACGTCACGCAATTTTTGTAGATTATTGCCCCCCCCCATGTAACGCGCCGTAACGTTTTTCTGTACCCAAGTATAGTAAAACGTTTCGTGACCACCTAGTGACTCATAAATTACCATTATGTGGTGTAAAGTACTGGAAAGTCGAAAATAATATTAACAATAACGCGTTATTCAATCCCCGCCCCGCATCGTAACCTTTTATAAAAGGACCCCCCTCCCCCCAAATTTCAAATACTAAATTCGTTACGTAATACTTGAACGCTCCCCTACCTACTATGCACAAAAATATTTATTCAACTCTACTCTGTAGTTCCTAAGATCGATATTTAAATAGCGCGGTCAGCTGTGGGAAGCCCGCAAAAGAAAACCTTTGTACTCGTTTTACGAACATTTTTCATTCGTGATCCGCTGCTATTCATCGTAGCATAGTGCTATAAAGCCAATTTTTTTTGCTGTTAATATAGCTTTGTATTGGTGACAGGTCGGTTCAGTAGTTTTAGTTTATATATTACATATCATACATGCATATTTATTTCATAACATCGGCACCACGCCATCAACAACAACATAATACAATCATAAAATTTATTCAAGTTTTAACAGTAAATTGAAACATACTGTAAAACCACACAAAGCCTTTTTTGATATTAAAAACATGAAACAAAACTTATTTAAAAATTAAAACCCGGTGTCTTTATCTAAAGTGATATAAAAAGAAATCCTTTATAAATTCACCCCTCCCATAAAAAATGGTCTAATTGCACCGTTTTGACTAAAGTACTAATCTCTCTCTCTACTGATTATAGCGTAAACACAACTTGACGGAAAGAGACGAAAGAGTGCTTTATTTAGAACAGTACAATTAGTCAAATTGCATTTAGTTTTTATGAATATGGAGATAATCGCGAACGCATATACCATACTACGCATTTCAGGGCATTGGTCAAAGCCTGGGATCAGGCATCGCAAGGAATTGCTCTTAATCCAACCATGGCGTATCTGGCAGACAGGACTCCCGCTGGGCCATGGGACAGTAGCTTAGATGGTATTATTAAAGCATTCCAGAAAGTTTCCGTTGGGTGAGTATATGTGATATATATTATGTATTTAATTTATTAATTACTTAATTTACGATGCAGGTGCTAAATTTCTGGTGCCTAATTAAGCTTGATGATGGTAATTTTATTTTATTTATTCCACACTTTGTTGCTAAAATCAATTATAATAATTTAATTATAATGAAGAGCGAGTTCTTTTGGGCAACTTTTAACATTTTATATTTAATTAATCCGATATAAAATCTAAAAAATTATGAATGTTCTTACTAGCCTAAATTTATAATATTTTCATTTGTTTACTTTGCAAGCCGGACAGGACAAAATATTTAGCTGGTAAGGGTTTGTACCTAGAATTACCACCTTGCCTTGCATACTAAAGCAGTTTGCACTTTTGATAAAAATTACTATTTCGTCTCTTTCCGTCGAATTGTCTTTACGCTATAATGAAAAGAGACCGATGTTCTAAATAAACATTAAAACAAAATATTTTTATAAACATAAAGGAGGTAAGTTTATATAAGCGTTGTAAAAATCAACTCACACTCAAAAAATTAAAATCACATTAGAAACTTGATACAATGAAATCTATTATTCAATTTGCCTCTATTTGTTTCTAATTTAATATACTTTAATATATGACTATTACTTCCCTAGGATTCATATAAATGAGCCAATGACCATCATAGATACAAGTTCCATAGACATAAAAAGTAAACTTTTTGATCCACAGGAAATTATCATCGAGTGTATCAAGTTTCCACGAATATGCAAAAAGCGGCTTGTCTATGGAAGATGCATGGAATAAAGCTTCCGTCCAGTTGATTGGCGCTGCTGAGGTGACTGTTTTATTATGTTAAAACCTCAACCTCCTTAACATTTTTACTTTTTAATTAAATTGTTTTAATGTAACTAGGCTTACGGTCGTGCGGTGGTACTATCAGTATACAAAGCAGAGATTGAGAGATATTCGAAGATTGTGTCACCGTCGCTGAAAGCCGTACTTTCCGATCTTTTGGAAATGTACATCATTTATAAGGCGTTGGAAAAGACAGGAGATTTACTACTGGTATGTTTTTTTATCTGTATATATGTATGCTATGATACAAATCGTATATATATTCGCCTGACAGAATATGTAAAGCAATATAAATAATACTCCTATTTTTCAAGTTAGCTGTTTGCGTGATTTTTTAATAAGGCGTCGAATAATATGCTATTTTCTTATGTAGGAATATCTATATCATTTATTGCATATGTTTGTACATTGAGATTCTATTAGAAAAGAAGAAACACAGAAGAACACAAAACACAATATACAATTTAACTGTACTACAATTAACTTATATTATGTAAAACTGTCAGTAATAGGATATCAGTTATATCCGAAAAAAAATATTGTAAAAATTAGAACGTGTCATTTGCAGTGTAATAAAAAACAAATTTCTATGTATTACAAATCATTAGTATATAAGCCAAACTCTTTAAAAACCGGAGTTTGGCGAGTCATACATAAACAGTTATTATCCGCTTATGTGGTCCGTTACTTCCATGACATCTATTGTAATAATATATATACATTATACACCGTCTGCCAAGTTTCCGTAACTTTGTTTATCATGCTCTTAATGAGGTTTAAGTTTTCATTTAGTTTTAGTTATTATTGTGATTTTTTATCTTTTTAGTTTTTATTTTGTGGTTGTTTGTTTTTTTTTTTTTTTTTTGGACAATTCACACCAATTGACCTAGTCCCATGCTAAGCTGGTGATGCTTGTGTTATGGGTACTAGGCAACGGATATACATATATATTATAGAAAGATAGACTTATAAATACATATTTAAACTCCCAAGATCTAGGCACAACACCAAATGCTCATCACATTGATGTTCGTCTCAGCCGGGGATCGAACCCGGGGCCCATGGATTCGCAGTCAGGGGTACTAACCACTAGACCAATGAGTCGACAATATTTTAATTGTTTGATTTGATAGTAGTGCTTATGTTCTAATATAATTGATGTGTATGTGTATTAAATTTGTGATGTCATATTTTCATGTGTTTTTTAGACATTGTTTTAACGTATAAATAAATATGTTTTCAGTACACTCAATTGTCGGAGAAAGAAGTAAAGGCTCTCCAAAGAAGATATGAAGACTTACTGGAGAAGATACGCCCAAATGCCGTCGGATTGGTTGACGCATACGACTACAGAGATGAAGTTTGTATTTTATTGTTAGAATCTAGACCTCAAAATATCTCAAGAAGTGAGAATTTAAAATTATTACAAAAAAACAAAAAATTTTTTTTATAAAAGTCTTTATCTTGCAATCAGTCAGCTAGACTATGAGCAGATGTGTTAAGAGCTGTTAGACGTTCAGAGCAAAATCTCCTTCGAGACTGCTCCTCTCTTTCAACCGTGTCTATCAAGACTTAGGATTTGTCGCCTTTTAAGCCTATTTATTAGGTCCGGTATATATCACGATGCATTTCTAGCCTTTTTCTGTATTTCATATTAAATCTCCTCTTTGACAGTCCTGAGTTTGAGGTGCTCATGAATCTCCGATGTTTTTATAAACCACGTACAGTTGGATATAAAACAAAAATTTAATAATAATTTTATTTAAAACAGGTATTACATTCTACGCTAGGCTCATATGACGGCTTTGCCTATGAGCATTTGATGGAAGAAGCAATGAAGAGTCCACTGAACGCTGAACCTGTGAACCAAAGTTTCCATAAATATTTGAAACCATTGATGAAAGGAAAGATATAGTGATATACGGATACTCAACGAAATTAATATTTGTTGTTGTTGGAAAAGTTAATAAATATTTAAATCGAAAATTACTTGTGCACAACAATAAATATTATAAAACAATTTTTACTTAATAATATATTTTTTTATTTTTACATTGTTTTTTTTTCATATATACACATGCTTATTAAAATAAAGCAATATAATATAATTTAATTTTATATTGCACCATATTATTTGAACAGCTAGCCAGCCACTATGAAATGTGTGTTTAAATTTATATGTAATAAATGTCAGGAGTATATGTATAGTAAATCTAGTGTAGCAAGCTGCACTCGATATATAAATATATCAGAGGGTGAGACCTAAGAACCTAACAACCCTACAAATCCCTAAGCCCTACATATGTACCCTAACACATGAATAGTGAATATTTAAATAAGTACGGAATGTCTGCACCAGGAGACCTAACGCAATAGATGGAGCCCTATCTATCAGAGGTTCAAGGTGGTGGGATTATCTCTAAGCTTGGCCAGGCTCATCACGATAATTAAGGGCTTGAAGGATGCTTCGTCAATTCGACACGCTGTGTATTCTTTGCCAATGAGTAGGGATGTCTACCGATTAAAATTTAGGTTTAAAGACATTTATTCTCATAACAGACAGTAGTCACTTACATGAGAACTTATATACTAAAGATACAATTTATCACGTCGTCGGTCATTGGAGAGCTTCAAGGATGAAGTAGGTACGTAGAGAACTGGGATCACTCAAGAGATGGTCTTTTAGTCTTAATTTAAATATTGCCAGGCTGTCTGCACGTTATTTTGTGGAAGTCTATTATACAGCAGCACTCAACGCTCAATGCTTTTTTACCGTAATTGGTTCTAAACTTAGAATTATGATTATGAGGGCGTCGTGAACTGCGCTTCTAAAATTGATTTATTTTAGTGAAAGTAATGTTAGTATGTATATTATAGTAATCTAAAATTTTGTAGATTGTATTGAAATAATTGATAAATTTAATGACATGGAATAAGTGATGCCAGTATCTTATATTCCATAAATACATATTTTATTTTGAGAGGAAGCGAGAAATTAATGAGACAGCAATATATCAAACAAATGCTTTATTGTTTTAAAACAATATCTTAAATACATACTACTTACTCCTATTCACACATACGTAATATTATTTTTGTCAGCTGCCGGTATATCGAATCTTCAGTTATTAAAATTTGGAATAACCAGAGTGTCAGCAGTTGGTCAATGTTCAATTGAAATCTGAACTTTTATAAAATACCTTTTCAGTTTGAAATCCCTATAAAATATATTCTTAAATCGACCCCGAAGGTCGAAAAAAGCTTATTTGATCTCCTTTCTGAAATTAGAGATAGGAAATATTGTACTAATTAGTTGGCCTGAAGTAATAAAGATAATTAACGAACATTATGATTAGATTTTAAATAACATAAAAATTAACAGTTAAATTGATCCAGTTTCAATTAATCAATAAAACATGATATTTTATTGCTCCAACTTCATTATTCATCCTATAAATTTTAAGTCCGTTTAATTTATTGCTCATAATTTAGAGCAGATTTCTGATATTTGTTCCTTTGATTAGTTAATAGATATTATTGTAAGTTTTTAACGACGTTTCTAAACGAAATTATTCTCGCTTGATTATAGTTCAGAGAGGCTTAATTATGATGCTGCTTTCTTGGTGTTAATATGGCTAGAAGGCATAATAATAATAAACCCCGTTTTATTTCCAATCATGACAAAAACAAATTATAATATACAGCTTAGATTATTTTACATTTTTTCCTTTGCTTGTTATTCTATATCCTAGCTTCCTTTAGTACCGTCGATCGAAACCCCTTCACGGGTAAAGCCCTCATCCAGCTTCCAACTGACTCTGTCTATGGCTCTCTTTCTACATTCGTTTCCTGCTACCGCTTCTATTTCTTCTATCCACCGTTTTATTGGACGACCTTTTCTCCTTCTTCCTCTTGGTCCTTTCCATACAGTTGTCTATAAGGTCCACCTATTATCTGTGTATCTTGCTATATGCCCCGCCCATTGCCTCTTCTGTTTTGATCATAATGTAAGGCATATAACTTTTGTTCTTTGTTTTAATTTGATGTATTTTTCTTATTTTAAGTACGCTTCTTTCCATTGCTTTCTGGCATGCTACTAGTTTAGTTTTTATTTTTGTTTTGTAAGTAAGCTGGAAGGCATGGCTTAATAAAATATGTGCGTTTACTACGAACATAAGAGAGAATCCTCGTGCGGCCGCTCCGAACTTCCGTACTTGGGTTAGTACGAGAAATTGCATTATACTTAGCGATTGGGATAACTTTGTTAGCCCAATTCAGGCTATGTGGTCATGGTTTTAGCCGTATATTCTAGGTGTCACAGGTAATACACGAAAAAATTTGATTTTACAAACACTACTGCTAGTTCAAGAGTGTAGAATGTACAAAAAGGTCCGTTGAAGGACCCTGAACCTGAGACTTTTAGTTGAAGAAGTGTGGTAGGCATACAATATAAGTTCATATGTATACTACATATGAAATAAATAAACTTGATTCACAAACAAGTATTTTATTAGCGTAATCCTTTTTTATGTGTCGATCTCCTAATGAATAAGCTAATATAAAGTTGATAATTTATGAGCTCTCATATAAATTGATTAGAAAACATTTGTAGAGGAAACAAACTTTTTATTTCTTAATAATCGCGGTAATAAAATACAAGAAATTAGAGTCTACTGTTTTTGAATATATTTATTTAAGGAGTAATGTCATACTTATTGACGGTTTTTCATAATATTCAACATTTGAATCGCAATTGTAAAAAAAATTCGTTTCGATACCTTTAACAATTTGAAAAATGTACTATCATAAAATGGTAGTAACATAAGAAGGTCTCCGTGGACGAATATAGTAGTAATTGTATGAAACATTCTTACATTTAAAATGTCAACAAATGTCATTATTGTGATGACGTTTACTTGTCAAAATTTTCTTGTTTGTCAATATTTGAGAACACTCTAGCATAGACTTAAAGTAATAATGATAAGAGTCGAGTCGAAGTAGTCTTTTATTTCGGTAATTGAAAATCACTCACAATTTAATCTGATACTTTCTTTATCTGGTTATAATTTAATTTATTGTTGTTTCGTTAAAATTGGAGGTACCTACAGAATAAAATTAAAAGAAATTGGATACATTTTATAAATAAAAACATTAATTTCGTCTACTTCCGCCCACATGGTGGTATTATGGTATAAATTAGCAATTTTGCTTGACATAGATTATTTATATCATGCAAATTAACGAAATAAAAATTCAATTTTAAAAATAGTTAAGTTATAAATAAAAGCTGTTCTAGAAACTTCTTCGGTCTTTCCCCATTAGAGGCGGTCCGAAATAAGCATTAATTTTGTTCATCTACAATTTAACCTAAAGTATATATGTAAGAAAATTGTCGGCAAAATCGAAATAATGACAGTTAATTACCACGCTCAAAACCATATACATTATATTACTTCAATAAATATATGTATACGTTTATCAACTAATTAATTTATATTCAAATAATTTAAACTAAACTCCTTGCCAAAACTTGCACTAAAAATAATTGTAAAATCTGTGATAATAAACCAGGCTAAGTTTCTTCGCTTGTTCTTATTAGACGAGTCTTTGGCTGTAACACTTTCGAAATAAAAAACCTACTTAATAAAATACATAATTTCATTGCACCTTTTAACTAAAGTTATGATCACAAACAAATTTTACGAAATCAATCAGATTTTTTGGATCGTTATAGTAGGTAAAACTTTGAAATTGTTTTCAAAATTATAGTGATGCTGCAATGATTTTTGGATCTAAGTTCGATTCAGGGAAACTAATACCATAACTCGTGTTACGGGTATATCATGAGTTTCGAGAGTTTTTTACGCCGGTTTTTTCTGTCAGTCCTTTGTCTTCTTTGACAAATTTAATGACGTGGAATAAGTAAAACCTGTATCTTATATTTCATAATAAACATATTTTTTTTTATTTTGATTTCAGTGCCGACAACTTGTCGTAGGTACTTCGGGAGTGTTTTAGCACCGCCTACTAAATTTGCGTTACAAACCTTAATTCATATATTCCTGGGTAAAATTGAAACGGCACTTTCACTTCCTTACACGGGACTTGAACGCTGGAGCACACTGCGAACCAGTATAGTGGTTTATCTAGTCAGTAAGCAATCTATGTTAAAAACATTTTTGTACAAGAAATTCGAAATTTGAATCTTTCGGCTAAATATCTAAAAAAAATCAATCGCTACAACCTTTTTAGGTCTGGGCCTCAGATTTCTGTATCTGTTTCATGATCTAATATGCAAGTAGGTCATCAGTCTCCTGTGATTGATACACGCCGTCGACTTTTTGGTCTAAGGCAAGCCGGTTTTCTCACGATGTTTTCCTTCACTGTTTGAGCAAATGTTAAATGTAAATAGGAAGTCAAAAGTCAAAAATCAATTATTCATGTAGGTAACTCAATGTACACTTATGATCGTCAAATAAGAAGAACATCAAAAGAGAAGGACTGGCAATAAACTCTCCGCCACTCTTTTTAATCGCCAAGTTTTTTTACACAACATTGACATAGTCAAAACTACTAACATCACCGCATACACGAATTCAAGTACGACCAGTCGCCACAAGTAGCACCCGTTCCGAGTATGACGCATGGCCAAGTCCATTGGTGCACAGCCGGAGATCAAACCTACGACCTTAAGAATGAGAGTCGCACGCTGAATCCACTGGGCCAACACTGCTCAGCTGAATATCTAACTATACATTATCGAGTATTGTTATAATTAACCTAAATATTTATCTTTTCAATCTGCACGATTCCATACGGTATCTTAGATAAAGGTAATTTTTGCAACTCACGGTAAAAGGTGTAAAATTGTACTTAAAAACATATCGTTGTAGTATTTATTTTTAAAATGTTATAGCAATAAAATTGCGAAAGTTAATCAATAAAATTAAAATTAGACAATATGTCTAATATTAATTAAATTCATTTTTAGCAGATTATTATGTATTTTCACTTTTAAAACGATAATTCAGTTTACATTCCATACGTCTTGTAAAATAATTTTTAACACTATCTGAAGTACCTTGAAGATTAATTAAGTTTTTCAATTATTTTGACATATGTCAAATAGTTTAACTATGGTAATTTATATTATTAAAAGTAAGTAATTACACGTAATTGATAACTTAAATCATAAATTATTAATAACCCGATATCTCATCTGTCCTGGTTTTTTATTCTCTCAGTTTTGAACCTAGTCAAGTTTATAAACACCTTATTTATTTTATCTAAAATTCATTTGTTAATCTTTTAAGTTCGTAACCTATATATAGAGGTAGTATATACTAAGAATAATATTCTGAGTCGAGACTGGGCGCGTATTATATACTGTATGTCAGAATCTAATAAACTTCATACGGGAGGGAGTCACAATGTCTCGTTTCTGAATCACACCCTAAATCCTATCCTGTTTCCGCGCCCCTAAAGTACGAGCCCAAAAATCAGGAAGGTTTATTTTTTGCCCTAAGAATTGGTCAAATCAAATATTCTTAACATTATAACGAGGTCTGGCAAGCAGCTTTATGTTTTTTTTAATTTTTATATATGACTGGTTTTAATTGGATCTTCTCATAAAATTACAATTTCCCTTAAATAACTAGTATTATGGAGCCTTTTAGTTTGTACTACCGGCCACTGGTATGGTATGTAGGATACATACATTACATTATATATCTGTGGAGTACGTAGTGAATTTTGGCATCTCTCACCAGAGACGCGAACAAAGTGGCACCTAATGAACGGATATAACATTGACCTAAAGATAAGGTCTCGGTACAGTTAGCGGTTGACCGGGTCAATATTCGGTCATAAACAGATCTAACAGCTGATAAAATTTATTGGTAATTAAACGGAGATGGTGAATGTTCAAAAAGTAGTTTAGCACTAATAGTAGGGGAACCCAAGCGGGGATTTCGGGATTTACTACATCGTGGCAGATTAACATACAGGAGGACAATACGTAGGACATGGATGCTATCAATATCTGACGCGCTCCAGTATGTCCATGGCACTTTTTTTTAATTTTTGAAAATCTATACCCCACCGATGAAAATTATATAATATATTTTTTATTTTTATTATCTAAGCGTCGCAACTCAATAGGTCTTTATGAGGCTCGAATAAATCCCGATTTAGCATCGTGGGCTATAAGGTATAACGATGCCTCATTAGTTGAATGAATAATTATATTATTTTGTAATTTTGATGAACTTCTATTTGTACAACTGCATATTTTTAGAAAATACGCCGTAGACTGGTTAGTAACGAAGATGGCTCGACGAATAATAACATTGGTCAGAAATCAGTGTCCCAGAATTAAATTATTCGGGAACTCGGTACAAATCCTGGGCCGCCATTGCTTCAAAACCAAATATGAAATCTATTGTAATAATCAGTGGCAGATTAACAATGTTTCAAGGTTATAGGTGAATGTTTTGCCGTCCTTGCCTCTACAATTGTTATGTACAATTTCGTTGAAAATGTACATAAATTTGGGCTTGATTTTAGCACAAAATTATACACAGACCATCCAGTTCCCAGCCTCCGACCAGTAGTAGGACTGACATGTATGGGTTGATAGGAACAGGTCAAAATACATTTTCTAAAAATTCGCTCTTTTAACTCCAACAAAGTGTGAGGTTGTGTGATTTGCTACACCGAATGTAACTTGACAAGTGAGAGGGGAAAGTCATCGGCAACACTTGTTGCAGAATTCTATCTGTAAAACATTAGAAAACTGTCATGCAGAAATATTTTTGATTTCTGAGGTAGCAAAAAAATAGATTCCCAAATTTGCCACCCAAAAATCTGTGGCCCTAGGCTCCACATGAGCGTTTTGTTAATTTATATCAGTAAGTACACTAAGGGTCGCTTAATTCCTATATGAAGAGTACGCCAATAAAAATAAAAACTCAAGGTATACGTTCAATACGATCTTATTGTATATGGTTTGATCACCAGAACTTTAAGTTTGTAAGTGCGTTTTTTACGATTAAAGTCGCGACATTGTGTTTTTAAGCTTTACTTTTTGCTAGTGGTTAACCTTGATTTTTTTAGCATATCATGTGTTATTTTTTTACTGACAATATTTTGCCGGTAGTAATAAAAGATGAGATTAATTTTAATATTTAATTATTTTAAGTATCTCATGTTTAAATTGCAACCTCGATAAGCACGAACGACAATTTTTTTTATTCATACAATAATTCAAATAGCTACGTTTTCGGGACGGAGAATATACAGGATATCCTGTTCTTAAAATAGATAAATTGAAGTAAAAGAAATATTTTAGTAAGAAACCATTTATTCTAAATAAATAATAAATTAATAAGTTATATAAATTAATAAATAGAATGTTGACATTGCAAATACATGAAGACAAGTTTTTTAAGTCGTCTTTATGTCGTTGCTTAATTTACTAGCTTAAATGGATTGGGCATTGGCCTGAGCTGAGCCATGTCCTGATGTGTTTGCGGAAGAGTTCACTACTCTGTATCCAGCGTGTAGACCTTGGGTGTTAGCTGATGAGGAGGCGGAACCCTGGCCAGATGTTTGAGCGTTAGCTACAGTGCGAGAGCCACCGTATGGGTTGTAAACGTTTGTTCTCCATGAACCCATGGTGGCTCCGTTGTTAGCAGAAGAAGAAGCAGATCCAAATCCGTTGGTGTTCGCAGTTGACTTCAGGCCTGTTCCGCTGATATCAGCATTAGCGTTTGCGTTGCCATAACCGAATCCATTGGTGTTGGCGGCAGATTTCACGGATCCAAGACCAGTGTTGGCTTCAGAGTTGGCAGTTCCAAAGCCCTGAGTGTTAGCTACGGTTTTAGCTACACCTGCATCATAACCGTATGTTTTCGCTGCAGAGTTGACGTAACCACCGTTAATGTTAGCATTTGCGTTGGCAGAGCCCTGACCGATAGCATCAGCGGATGATTGAGCATTTCCATAACCAGCTGTGTTTGTGTGTGCGGTAGATTTAGCTAGGCCACCGTTAGCTTGGCTTGAAGCTTGAGCTTGGCCGAGGTTAGAGGGAGCCACCATTGAGGGGGTACCATAGAGGGTTCCAAAACGCCACGAGATGCCTCTGTGCTCAGCGGCTTTAGCGGAAGCAACGGCGTTGTTGATATCTGCGTTTGAGGTTGCTGAACCGAAGCCTTGAGTATTCGCGGTGGCAACTGCTGATTCATAGGCATTGTTAACAGTGGACGAAGCTGAGCCATATCCGCCGTTGGTCTGTGATTGAGCAGAGGTCAAGCCGAGTCCTCCCTGAGACCTTGTGTTTGCGGCACCGAATCCTTGAGTTCTGGCAGAGGTGATAGTGTTTCCAAGGCCGTTGTTGGCATTTGCGGATGCTGACCCTTGTCCTCCGTAAATCTTTGCATTTGAGGCTGTTATGCCATAACTACCTACTCCACGGGTTTGGGCAGAAGACTGAGCTGAACCAGCACCGTCATTACTCACTGTTGAGATTGAGGATTCTGAATCTCCGTTGACGATAGCAGAAGATTCAGCTTTAATTTGTCCTGCAGGTAATTGATATCTCATCTGTGCGGGCAGTTCAAAGTTTTGTTCGTACATAATAGCAGCTGGTTGAGGGATTTCGTAATAAAATGTAGGTGCGTTTTGAGCTTCAGCGACAGCTTTAGCTACTCCATATTGAGGAGCCTCTGGACCTTCAAAAACCTCAGCATTTGCTACAGCCTGTCCAGGAATAGCTTCACCAAAGTCATTTCTTGCAAATTGATTGTCAGCCGATGAAGCAGTACCATAGGCCTGGAGGACGCCGCCATTAGCGGTAGCGGACCCCGTTGCACGCCCACCATAGCCGTTCGCAAAGGCTTGTCCCACTGAGAACCCTCGTCCATCACGGTATAAATAACCTGTAACCAAACATATATTTATATCAAAAATTGTTTATAAGTAAGTAGGTGATCAACAGTTGATTCACACAACCTCAGAGTTACGAGAAGTTAGAGGGCTAAGCCAATGTTTTATTAGAAATCAATAAACATTAAAAGTTTTAAAACTATAGAGAAAAATGTAAAATGTAATAAACTCACCGTTTATAAGGGCAGGGCTACATTGAGCCAATGTGACACAAGCCAGAGCTAGGAGGAACTTTGCTGCCATGGTGTACTTGATCGGAAGCAGATGTCGAGTGGATGTAGAGAGAGCATTTCTCCGCGTTTATATACTAAGAAAGCATCCACCACTCTCGCGCATTCGCCTAACAACTGAACTCGAACTTCACCTAGAAATGTTTCCTTGATCGTAAATTTCGGCGATATGTTACGGTAGATTAATGAGCTAGTTCAATCGAGATTTTAGCCAATGATTATGACAGGTTGACGTTTAAATGCAAGATCGAGGGCGCGGTGCAATGACCGGGCATATTGCGAATATATATACGAGAATATATCTAATTAATTCGTTATACCCTTTTCAGAACTAACCTAAAGGTTAATTTTAAAGAGTTCCATATTATACAATGCATTGTTAATAAAGTGAGTTGACTGAAAAGGTCTACTTTTAAAAATTGGTACGCGTACCAATTCAGCGTAATTTAGCGGCCGGCAACGCACTCGCGAGCCCTCTGGTATTGAGAGTGTCCACTGGCGGCGGTATCACTTAACATCAAGCGAGCCTCCTGCCCGTTTGCACCCTGTAAAAAAATACTTTTTGTCAATATTTAATTAATTTATACGATCTTTTATAAAAATAGTTTTATTTGTACGGTAAATGTTTTTAAACTTATTGTTATTTCTATTTAATTATGTTTGTAATCGTGTGTGTTTTTGGTTTCTACATTTTGGATTTAATACTTGTCTTCTATAACTGTACAAACATACATTTATATTATTGCTTAAACATTATAAATAAACTAAAAATACCCTTTACTTTACCAACAAGGGTGTCATTAGATGTCAAACCATATAGAATCAAACTATCAGTGTCAATGATAACTTTGAGTCAAAGCGCAATGAATATTTGCTAAATACTTAACTGACCATTTTTTGGAAGATATGTCTTAGTTATTAACCGTTTGTATAACTGAATACCTTGTCGATGCAGCAAAGATTCTTTTGGGGCTGTTGATGGCTCACTTGCCTTTAATTTGTCAACGAAAGAGACGAAGCCTATTATGCGTAGTTTAAATATTTTAAAGCGTTGACTCTTACTTGAAATAAGTTTAATAACAAGCCATTAGCTTATTAGATATATTTATAACAGAAGACCCTACTATGAATATTATTTGAAATATTTGGTATATTTGAAAACATAATTAATATTAATGAAGTTCCTAATAGAAATTACAACTGCGTTGAATAGGAAATAGGGCTATTCTTTAGGATTATAGGATTATTTTCTCAATGAAAGTAATTTTACAATTAATTTCTCCGAGAATGAAACCAAAACTTAACGTGCTAAATTATATCGCTTGGAAACAGATAAATAAATATTCAGACTAGCATTCTTGTTCAATAGCTGGTTTTTATCTCACAATAAAATTTCAATTTCATTTAACTTTCACTGTCATCATATTGTAAATATAGTTGACATTTGTCATTTTTTTTAGTTTACAAGGTACGTAGCAAACCTAAGTACTTCATTATGTATGTACAATTACATAGAGTAATGTACAATAGAACGTTCCAATATGTAGTTCAGCGTGTTTCCATATTTCTTATCTTCCTTTTGAAGTAATTTTATTTGTAGTAACGTTAGTTTAACACGTTCGTTGCATTACGAGATCTATCAGATCTCTTGCAGGACTTTTGTATTGTGTGTTGAAAATAATCGTGTTTTTTCACTCCTTGCGGGAGGATCTAACTTGTAAAGTTCTTTAAGTATGAGCAGGACAAATATATATATTTGCTTCCTACTTAAAGCTGAATTAAAGGACATTAAAAAATAAATTAGAGATGGATTAGGTCCCTAACGCACAGTACTGTAATTGTTTTAATTCCTTGCGTTAGGAGATATGTCGGTACTCGTAAAATCGTTCGCCTCGTAGACGCAAGAGAGGGAGGATGGGCGACGCGGGCGCTGCGTGACTCTTTTTAGTGTTGTTCAGAATCGACATGGGAAGTCGATAAAAATGTTGGAAAATGTCCAAAATTGCCCCCCATTGGCTAATAATGACAGTGATTCTGATCATGAAATATTTGACGTACCTACAAAGAAAACGATGAACCTTTTTCGTTAGAGCACACGTAGTTAAACAGCACTGACGCTTCTAAAACATCTAAACGCGCTAAATTTATCTAAATCTAAAGTAAAATCTATTACTTTTGCGCGTAATGTGCAAGCAATCAATGTGCTTACCATGTTTAAATGAAAAACACTTTGCATAATTAATCAAACTTTTAGAATCGATAACTGAGATATTATTTTATTCCCATCACTACTTACTATACACATTGAACTATCTTTGGGTGCGGTACGAGATACAATCGATATCTAATTTTTTTTTGGTATTTGTAGTTTATTCAAGTGTCGTAACTGCGTGCGAACCTAGCAAAATATAAAGCAATAAGCTATCTTTCACCCACAAAAACTTCAAAATATATGTCATTGTTTTTTGGAAGATATAAATTATTTTCAAAACTGTATGTTTAGGAGATTGATTAGATCTCCAACGCACCAAAGGATAGGCTTGTTACGAGATCTTTTAGGTCTCCAAAGCACCAGCTGAAAGTTCTTTGAAAATGATGGCGCAGTGAACGTGTGAACAGCATAATTTTAAAACAATATTAAAATTCATTTAATTTGTTTGTTTTATGTGGCAGAATAGCCATAATGCTGGCAGTATTTCCTCGCAGTTATTGAGAATTATTAGAATAAGAATAAGTTGCTGTCTATGGTGGCCTTCAGGTGCTAAAGTTACATACAAAATTATAGGCATTTGATATTCTCATGATGCAGCATCGTTATTATCATAGTTTGATTTATCAAAACACTGATAGGGACAATTACGGGCCACTGTCTCTTTAATAAACATCTTTTAGTCCTAGGCGAGCATGACAGTCCCATGTACAGAAGCTGTTTCAGCACAGAGGAATCAGTCACCCACGTAGTCCTTGAATCTGTGGCTATGGCTAACCAACGTACAGAAAGCCTCGGAGCAGTGAGGTCGCTCCGTGAAGCCTGCGAAGTGTCCAGACTTCTGTGCTTCTGGAAGGATTTAGGCTGGCTTAGTTAGCCAGGACTTTACACAAAACGGACCTAATGAGAGTCTAAGTGCGGAAACTGAGTTCACCAACCATTAACCATTAAAAACCATTAGTTCGATATATGATATGATGGCATAATATAGAACGGCATAAGCAGGAATGAAAGTTGTATTTTATATCATAACTTTAGATTAAAAATAAATACATAGTTTTAAATAAACCCACGGTAATATAATAGTACTTGAATATAAAAAGGGAATTTGTATATTTCTATTTGTAGCAAATAAACCAAAAAGTGTGGTAGTGGCCCGATTTCAAGAGTTATTTGCTGCAATATTATCCCCGAGTAAAATAGGCAATATTTATTTCCAAAATATTTTTGAAGGTCCAGTCGTATGAATTGAGTATAATTTTTTCTTGTGTCCTCAAAAAATCTACCAAATCAAAAGTAACAAATTATATTTTATAAGCAAAGTGATCTCTGAACTGTTGTGATCTATAATATATGCAAATTGTCAAAACCGTTTGAAATTTATTTGCGATGGCAACTATTAATTATACACGCGGTTGATCGATGAGCGTAATGCGAAACTAGATTTGGCTACTTACCTGTTATTTTTTATTTTCTTTTTCGAAAGTGGTCGTGGCACTTTATTAGGGTTAGTGTTATGCGAATACGGGGTAGACAATTACATAGATGTAGATAGAGTAGACAGTTTAGTAGACAAAAGTTACACTATTCATGGTAATATGTAGACCTGTTGTATATTCCCTTGAAAAATTTGACTTCAAACGTATTGAATTTTGAAATACGGGAGTCATAGATCGTAAGACGTTATTATGGCGCAAATGATCGGGCAATAACGTGGGTTTTCAACAAAAGGGGTTCACCGAGAATTCAAACTGGTCAGGTCACGATACTTGGAAACATAGACTCGGGATTTTTGATATTAAGGGACTTAGTGGGTCACTCGTATTACAACATATAAAAAACTTTATAAATTAAACCAATTAAATTGTTGCCTAGTTTTGTTGACGCTAGTTTCAGTCCCCAGATTATTCCGTTGTCGCGGGTGACCACCCCCAAAAACTAAATTTAATTAAACTACGTAACAACGAACTCGTACTGCGGACCGAAGTTTTATAACTAAATCGCGCCTTTTCATATTTAGTGTCTCGAACATGTACTGTTTTATGTATGAATAAAAAATAAGTATTTCTCGTTTCCTCGTGAATACAAATTAGAAATATATTTATTCCATGGATACGATAATTTAGTTAATATAATAGTTAATAATTAAGTTACTTTGTTTACTTTTTCAATTGTTTTTGTAATTACAATAACAGCTCTAAACACCCGTATACTGACCACAACCGCTAGAGCAAGACTGCATTGTAAGAGGAACCTTATCACGCGGTAATAAAGAGGCTATTCACAAGAAATAATAAATGTCCTATGAATCTCGTAATTAAAGTAAGAGTGAAAGGAACTGATAGCTAATATTGTTGTCTCAGTCAGTGTATTCAAACTATAAACGTGTCTTTCGTTCACTTAAAATCGTTGGAGTGAATCGAAGTGAATTTAATAGGACATGTGAAAGAACTATACTATTCAATTAAATAATTCCATTCATAGACAAGACATAGTGTTTAAATAATAATAAAATAACCTTTTGAGTACCTTGATATAAATGTTTCACTATTTCGTCCGACATCATTGTAGGCAGCGTGGCCGAGTGGTCTAAGGCGCTGGTTTTAGGCACCAGTCCGAAAGGGCGTGGGTTCGAATCCCACCGCTGTCAAACTCTTTTGATTTTATTTTTTAAAATTTATCAAAGCGTGAAATTACTAATGAAAAAATTTTCACGAAGCGTTACATGCTTGGCGGTACAAATTATACAATCACTTTTCGGTTTTATAAACGAACGCTGATATAAAAGATAATTAAACAATGTATTAACAATAGAGTATAAAAATTTATCAATTAATAGTCTACAACGAGATTTCGGGCTACTATTAATTATTGTGTGTCACAACGACATGAATCCTTAAATTTAAATTCTGATTTTTTTACAATTTAGTCGAAGAGGATTCACAAATATTTCACTTCAAATATTTATTTTTCTTTTATGAATACTTTTGGATTTTTGTAAGGACTATTTAAAATGTGATTAGTTCGAATTGAAATGCAACTATAATGATATCGCAAAAAAAAACATCCGCTCAAAATTTATATCGATCGTACTATACATATTCTTTATGTATGACAACTGACAATAAAACGACAACAACTATCTGCGATCCCTGACATTTGTTAGCACTTGTTTGTTTACCTTTTTTATTATTGCTAAAAGCCTTGCTAGACGCTAGTTAGTAGTTGCTACTCTTCCGAAATGAATATTGATGAGTTTTTCACTGACTTTCAACGCGATATTCAAGAAATAAGAGAGTTTAGAAGAAAGACACTGCGAGCCAGAAAAAAATATAGAATGAGGTTCAATCCTCTAAACATGCCAGACGATACATTCAGACAATACTACAGATTTACTAAGCAGAACATGCTAAAAATTGTTGATTTACTGCGAAATGATTTAGAAGTGGATTTGCGTGGGGGTGGAGTTCCAGTTGAATTGCAAGTGATGGCAGTTATTAGATATTGGGCTCGACATGGGGTTGGTTAAACTTGTGAATAAACATTATTTCTTAAATGAGAAGGAATATATTTCTATCAAATAAAGGGAGTAAAACATTCCATTTATTATTGCAGATCCAAGAGAACTGTGCTGACGTCCACGGAATAAGTCAGCAAACGTTGTCGCGCTTAGCTCAAAAAGTTTCTATCGCATTATGTTGTAAAAGTTCTCAGTATATTAAAATGCCAGAAAATTCTACAGAGGAATCATCAATTATGCATCAATTTGAGGAAATAAGTGGCATGAAAAACATAACTGGTGTCTTAGATTGTACACACATAAAGATACAAAAAATAAGTGATAATAATGGTCAATCTTTTATTAACAGTCAGGGACAGTATTCAATTAATACACAGGTATGTACAAAACATCTCACATCATATTTAACTTATAATTTTCCATTTCAAAAAGCAAATAGTTTATATTTCTAGATTATCTGTGATGCCAATCTGAGAATACGAGATATCGTATGTCGCTGGCGAGGAAGTACTGATGATGCAAAGATATATAATGAAAGCTCAATAAAGAGACGTTTTGAAGAAAATGAATTTGTTGGAAAACTAATTGGTGATTGTGCATATCCCTGTACTTCTCATCTTCTCACACCAGTTCTGAGACCTATAACTGAAGCAGAAGAAAGATATAATCAAAGCTTTTTTGAAACTCATAATGTTGTCCAACAATGCATGAGTGTTTGGAAGGAAAGATTCCGAATTTTACAAGATGTCATTAGGGGCTCATTAAACACTGCCAAAACAACTGTAGTTGCTTGTGCAGTACTACATAATATAGCAATGCAATTAAATGAACCTATTCTTGAAGACACAGGTTTGCAGTTGTTTTATTTATTTTAATATCTCATATTAACGTAAATAATAAATCAATTCTTGCACCACACTGTATTATAATAGGCTGGGCTAGGTTTGGGTTTGTGTGTCTCAAAATTGTGGTCATTGTATTAGAATCATATACATGCACCAATAGCCTTTTCTATGTGCGCTATTAACTTGTACCATGAAGGAAAATATTGTTAGGAGATCAACAAGCCTGTGACCTCAACGCCGAAGATGTGTGACCTAGATCGGAGGCTGATCACCTACTTGTCTATTGAGAAAACTTGTGATCATGAATCAGATACAGATATCTGTACCTTGAGGTTGAAGCACTACTATATTTATTTGTTATAAAATTGTCAAGTTTTGTTAATTTGGAACCATAGTTCTTTTAACTTGTCTATTGAGAAATCATGAATCAGATACAGATATCTGTACCTTGAGGTTGAAGCACTACTATATTTATTTGTTATAAAATTGTCAAGTTTTGTTTATTTGGAACCATAGTTCTTTTAACTTATTCTTAATTTTATTTTGCAGGTCTAATGAAAAGTGAGACTGCTATGGTTGAAGAACCAAATTTATTTGTTGATGATGGGAATGAGATACACAGAAACCAGTACATAAAGGAGTATTTTAATACATAAGTAAAAATTATTATTGCCAGGAACCTGCTTTTAGTGCCTCCAACTCTATAAAAGTAGGATATACATAATTTTTCTTAGAACAGGAAAAGAGTTATTTATGAGTTAAATCAGTTTTGATTAGATTAAAACAATTCATGCTTCAACCTATCAATATATACCTAACGATTCTTCCTATATAATGACAGCCATAAAACCAGTAAAATGTGTGGTTCCATTAGTATCATTATATAAGAGAATACATTGTATTTGAATCATCTTTTCAGAATATAGAATGACAAATAGATTAGTGCTTAGCCAGGGATCGAACCTATGCCCACTGGGATAAAATCACATACTTTCACTATACATCTTTCTGCCTATTCATTGTTCTATCATTATAGCATTTTTTATTTGTTACAAGTTTAACATGGGGTGTCAAGGTATAAATTAAACAAAGCCTTTCTTATTGACCTGTATATTTACCTAAGTGTAAAGGAGCGTATTTACATGGTGGACATCCGTGTTTACCCTACCTTAACTTAGACATAAGTTTAATGATAAAATTGCTTCTTTTCATTCCATTGCCCTTTTAGTAACAAATTATTGTTAATATATATTCAAATCCATTAAAGACAGAATTGTATAGTACAAAAAGTCATATTTGATATTGGATACAGTACACAGACTATTTAATAATTTTAAAATTATATCTAAGGATACATATCATATACATATATCAACCATATAAAGTTGTTATTGAAGCCATCAAAACCACTAAAATTTAACTCCCCCGCATTTGTATGAAGGTAGTCTGCACACATACATTTTCCCAGGTGATACAATTCACTTGTATCAATTTATTTATGAGAATAGGTACTTTTACACTAAAGATTCAATATGATTATGATATAAAAACTTTTTTGTCAACTGTACCTAAACTCGGCTATAAAATAAAAAGGCATTGAAATAATTACAATATGAAATCAAACAGCTGCCAATTATAATTAGATTATTACTAAAGGTATTCACGTCAAAGCTTCTAATATTTTCTAGGAATACAATATAGATCGAAGATTTTGTATAGGCCTTGATTGTAAGGTAATGAAAATGTTGTGAAATAATATCTTATACAACATATTAAACATTATAAAGTATGAAATGCCTATTATTTCCACTATTTTGTCAGACCTACATTTATAAATGATATGTAATCGCATCTGTTATTAAGCAAATATCCCGGTACTTGGCAAATATCTACTCTTACCGGTACTTAAATCTTATGTCATTTAAGAAGCCAGGCACGACTTACCTTTCTAAAGGAAACGTAAAATAACTTTTTAATTACTTTAACATCACTGATTTAATACTTCAACTTTAATGATTTGAACCTAACATTACAAAAAATTGTTATTAAATTAATAAGTTTTTTAGGAATCTACAGCTATTCTTCTCTGTAGGACTGTTTATCTTATATGCTTTAGGAAATAATTATAATTTATATATGGTCAGACAAATTAGTGGAATCAAAGTCTGTCTCAGGTAAGTCTATTACTGTCTTGTAGTCTGTGCGTAAAGAGAAGCGTCGTGGGATTTGGGGTCGCTGCAGTTATGCTTTTTGTCCTGTTGACAACTCTGTTATGTCATTATAATTCAACAAAAATCATATTGATACCTAATGACATTTTATAAAATATTTTTTGTGAAAAGATTAAATGACGCGTAGAAAAGAAGAACTATATTAGTTCGCATAACTGCTACGCTGGTTCTTCTCCGCTCATACTCCGTCGATCTATGGTTTACTTCTATATAAATTTGTCTATATAGAAGTAAACCTCAAAAAGACTTAAAACGGCGCTTGCACGATGATAAAAAAGTAAGAGTTTATGGAAGCTTTATAGTAAATGTCAAGTTTTAAACAAGAGTTATTTGGTGACAGATTTCAACTATTCATAGCCTATATTATCCCTATAACAATATACAATTACAATTTACATTTACACTATGTGAGCGTAATCCATGCTATTGTGGGAATGTAAGCTTTTAGTTGCATCCAATTCTAATTTTTATTCATGACAGTATATTAGTGCTTAATAACAATTATTCATATATTACAGTATAATATTAGCAATCGCTTAACAATGCCCCTTATAGTAAAATAATAAATTAATTGCCAGAAACTAAAAAGTAAAATTTTAAATTAAAAAGGTAGAACTTATTTCCACGAGAAATTAAAATAAGGTTATCTTAATTTATGTTTAATGTAGTTATCTAAGTCATAGACATAACATAGAATATATAAAGCAATCAGGTCAGTTTGCTTGCCACAGAATATATAAATGTTAATTGTTCTTTCAATTGTTTATTGCTTAATTTATGATCAATTCGAAGTACGATGATGTGGCTCTTTTATTTATTTGTGGTTGTACCATAACTAATTTAAAAAGTCGCGTTATGGTGAATGTTAAAAATGTGTGGTATTTTGTATATCTATGACTGAGATGAACAATAAAATGATGTAAAACGATTACAAAGTAATAACATAGTTAAAAGAATAAAAATGGCACAAGTCACAAAAATATAAAAAAGTAGACTGGCTTGCACAACCTGGTTTAAAAATTATTCAACACATACAGATTCAATGTAGAAAATAAGAATTAAAAATTTATAATCAGAATTGCCCTATTTTTACATATAGTTTAGAAATTTATTTTACTTTATATCTAAAGGAACATATAAAAAAGAGTAAATGTATTTTATTTTACGGCAAAACATGATACAAGCATATATAAAAATCGTATATCTTAAAAGTGTTATAATATATAATTTTTAATATTAAGAAAGAATTTACAATTATTACGTTTATTCTACCATTGAAAATAATAAATAGGTAGCCGTTATTCATTTAGTTAGCCATTTATCAAAATCCCTAATATTTAATAAGTTTGTAATTTAATACATAAGACAATTCATAAGAATTTGAGATAGCTTTAATTAATATTATCTGGATATAAATCAATTGGCCCTAAATACAGGATATTAGATTAATTATAGATTATAGAACAAACAAGATATGGACGATACCATAGACTATAGTCTATGAAAAACACTACGACACAATATTGGCAAATGTACAATTAAAAAGAAGCGAATGGCACATTCATTTTATACAGAACAATTCATTTTATTACAAGATCTCCATTCAAATACAAAAAATTAGTTACACTCCAAACACTTATTGGTCTCGAAATATGAAGACATTGTAATATCGAGACTATCTTCACGATAGTTTAATATTTGGTCTTAATTGATATAATTTATATGCAATTTGCATAATTCGATTTTTAAACAACATTTTAAATGTACATGATTTGTACAGATAAGTACAATCAGTACAGATGTTGAAATTTTTAGTAAGAACAACCACAGAACATATTTAGCCACAGGATAATGTAAGTAAGGAAAATGATAAGTTATGTCAACAGTTAAAAACGTCAAAACAACGTGCGGCCATATTGTTTATCTGTTAGTTAAAAAATTGGTGGCATAGGATGTTCTGTGTCTTCTCACGCATAAAATTCTCGATTGTTGTGACCTTTCCCATACGATGCTGCTGCCGGGCTTCTCTTAGGCTCGTCCAAAGCATATGAACCTTCATCCTTCTTCCTCATTCTATATACTATGAACATTACTACCAGAATCGCGCATAGAAGTCCTACTACGGCTCCACCGATTACGGCTGAAATTGATAGAATTTTATTAGTAATTGGTAAAGGTTTATCTTTATCTAAGAACTGATTAGAAGGGCAGTATTTCTAGTCCAACTCGCGAAGACGCGTGGCGTGATATTGTCTCTCCAATCACATTCAAACGGACCTTTTGGTGTTTTGTTCACATTCTTACCACACAAGCTAAGTTTAAAATCTTCTAACACTATTCAGCGAGTAAGATAGACCATATGTTATTTAAAAAAATACACGTTTAATTGTAAAAATAATACGGAATTATTAAATATTTTGTGAACAGAATAAAGTATCAAAAAGTTACCACAAATAGTTTGCAAAAATTGTTTAGGCGTGGTCAGAATATTGTTAATAGGTACGTATTTTACGGTTCCTGGGTCATCGGGATGCTTTAAATAATAGTGGATTTTAGTTTTACTCTATATTAACCACTCGCGTACAACAATATAAGCGAAATAATGTTAATCGCTTTGTAACGAAGGAATGCAATGAAACAGTTGAAGAGAGTATCTACGTCTGGCTATACTCTGGGGGCGTAACTCAACGATTTAGGAAATCGCCACGCTTATAAAACTAAGAAAGCCTGAGTGAGCACAATGTACAATCGTGACTCGTACACGTAATATAGCATAGTTGTCTTGATATTGTGCCACACGAACCATTTCAATACTATACTCACCAGCTAGTATGCCCGGTTGTGCGAAGAAGCTGGTTGCGCGGTCCTCGTGGGGCGTGTCCATGATCACCACACCGCTGTCCGCTGGCCGCGTCTCTGGCTCTAGGTTTGATCCCGCTTGGCTTATTATATCCTGAAAATTTATGAGAATAATCTTAGAAACAGAACTTTAGAATAAAAACATGGGTTCCCTACTGGGTCCGCGATTTTAATACATACTAACAATATTATTGAAAATCTGCTATTTGCAGATTTTTACACTACATTCAGACATTGTTAAATGAGGACTATCAGAACTGTACATGGCACAAACAAGATTAATTTATATTCTGTGTATTTTAATTATAATAACAATGTAATAAATAATCGTTATTTTAAATTCTTAAATAATATTTTACTTATTCGTTTGTCTGTATATTGCTATAGCCACATCACAATTTCACTTTGAATAATGTTCAAAACCTTCCTCCACCATACAAAATATCGTCGCTGATAAAGAGATAATTAGGGATATTTAATTCATGTCATTAAACATTAGAGACTCTGTTAGTAATCCACTTACGGTTTCTCCAGACAAGTTGATGTCTCCAGAGATATCCGGGCGCGAGGGCTGATCCTCCCCCGCGCCGCGCGGTTCTTGTTCGCTCGGGTTACTTGACAATATCCTCGCTGAAATCACATTAATTATTATTTGTCACAGCCCTAAAACGCTATCTAAACTTCAATTTTGTAATCCATTTCCGTTGACCCAAAATTAAAGAGCATACGATTGAAATATTGAAATATTTATAAACATGTTTGAGGGGATTCATTATGTAAACATTAAAAGCGTTCGATGACGAAGACTGGAAGGGTATGCCAATTAAAGCAACAGATGGATCTAAGAAGGTGAAGATAAACATGCGAAATTTAAATCTAATGATTGATTTTTAAAAACGAGTGAATACATGCTCGAAAGATCGAAACTTACCAAAATCCTTAAGAAAGTACAGGGTATGGATAAAAATATTTTTAAAGGTACAACAAATACGTCCTGTAAGGTCAACAGTCAAGAGGAAACTGACGTGTATTATCCATGATAATAAGGGAATTATGAAAACTATGACTCAAGGCTGAATTACAAGTAATTAAAATTAATTTTATAAATGTAAAAACTCTTGACATATACAGGTTTATATGGATATTCTTATCTACTTATCTATGATAAACTAGGTAACGTGAAATCATCTTAAAGTTTTAATACAAAGTTATACTTTGAAACTCGCGTGGTAGTATTCTGGTCAAGGCGGTCTTGTATCAAGTTAGTTTTTAGCTCAAATAATGAATAAAGTAGTAACTTTTATATGACTATTTGTTATATCTTTACTTTCATTCTCATTAAGAAGTTACTACTTGAAATTATTCAAATTAATTAGTTCAATTTCAGTGAATACAAAAAATGATATCACATTAGCACGGATCCTAAGCGTTGATAGCTCTCACTTGAATATATTTGCGTTAGATAAATATTGAATTGTACCCATATGTAAGCCAGTTTTACTCTATTAGTAGTAGTTAAAAAAAATATGACGTCAACCAAACTAGTATAACATTAATCTGATCCAGGGACCAGATAGTTCTCTTTGCCCAGAGATCATGTGAACGATGGAAACATTTCTTTATTATTTCCACTTACTTTAGTTCGCTTGAAGTAAGAACTATTTCTTATCTATAAAGTAATTCTTGTTATATATTACTTGTGAGCAGTGGCGTAACAATAGGGTGGCAGGGCTGGCAAAATGCCACGGACCCAAGAGGGCCCCTGCCCAAAAGATATTCTGTTCTATGGATGTATGTAAAGTCTCCAATAGGCATTGGGCTAGCGTAGGGACTACAGACCATTCCCTCTTGCCTAAGAGAGGAGGCCTATGGTCATTAGTGGGACATATACAACGTGTAATTGAGTACACTGAAAATCTCAAAGTTTATTAAAATTAAACTGAGTACAACGTGACGATTTTTACTGATGGGCCCCATCAAAAGAATTTGCACAGATGGTATAGTTACGCCACTGCTTATGAGTAAACAAAACAGGACCCAACGCTCAAGATCCGCCAAACAAAAGAAAATCGCAACAAAACCGGCATGCACGGCCTCTACTCACGACTAATAACATCGATGGGCTGCACTACAGGTGGGGTCAGAGGCTCTGATTCGTCCGGACTGGACGGATTCGTATGGAATATAGTGGGTATCGGAGCCTCCGTGGTTCGCGTGTAGTCTTCGTCATCCTCAGGCGCGTCTGGGACGTCACCTGAGCCGCGGCTATCTTCGTCGTCGGGGCCAGGGCCAGGGCCGTAACCGGATCCAGAGCTCTCGTCGATCTCTACGCCCGAGCCGTCATCGTCAATGAAGAGATCCTTGTCGGAGGCGAGAGGACCGTCGTGCTGTATGTGGAGTGTCTCCGTCGGCTGGACGCCGGCGGCACCGTCCTGGAATTGAGACATGCGTGTTATTGGCTAGAATAGAACTGGTTTTATGAACCCTCAAATGCTACAGAGTTGGCCTAGTTCAGCGAGCGAATGTCATCCCTGAGGTCGTAGGTTCGATCCCCGGCTGTGCACGGTTGTGTGGCTGTGAACGGTGAAGGTAAACATCGTGAGGAAACCGACATGTCTTAGACCCAAAAAGTCGATGGTATGTCAGGCACTGGAGGCTGATCACCTGCTTGCCTATTAGATTGACAAATGATCATGAAACAGATTCAGAAATCTGAGGCCAAGACCTACAGAGGTTGTAGCGCTACTGATTTATTTATTTATTTAAATGCTAAGAAGAAATCACTGTTATAAATTAGTATAAACAATGAAATCGTTTTCATTTGAAGTCTAAAAGGTTTAAGTGATAATACTTAACCTGATTAAATAACAGTTAATTCTATAAAAGAATTGTATGTTGTAGAATCTTGTAGGGTTATGATACGAGAATTAATTACTATTACTTAACATATTGCGTACTGTTGAAACAAAGACAGGCTATCTAATATAGCTTATGAGCAAGTCAAAATAATTTTAATAGGTCATACAGTATTGATTTAGACTATAGCATAGTAAGAATAACTCAACAAATAACGCAGTAAAAAGAACCTCATTACACCGCAGCCATGATTCTTAATTGCACCAGGATGCGTACAAATGCACACAATCTATAGACGCGACCTACTTCCTGAATGTTCACAAATCTACCCATATATATTGAAAACTAATGAATAATGTTCTAATATGTTATTATATCTATGACCGATGACGTGGTGACCACAAAACAGGCAAACAAACAATGTTCGGGTACAATCAATAACAGCGTATACAATTTTCAAATCTATATTAAAACACTGTACTCACCTGTACTTAGGCACTAATAATATATTGTATGAATATTAGGCCTGATTGTTTGTTACCAAACTCGGGCAGTGCTCATTTGGTTAGCCAAGTTGTACAGTGAGGGCGAAAGATCGATAGTGGTGGGTGTGGTGAGGGGAGGGGGAAAGATCCCGAAGGCTGTCCATAGATGCCGGGATAGAGGCTTCATAGGAGCAAGTTTCGAAGACTCGTCGTAGGATGGCGCTGGTTGAAATTTTGTAAGTTTACAAGTTAAAAGTTAAAAAAATTGTATCTTTCCATCTATAATAACAATTTTGTTTACCTGCTGAAGGGGATCTCCAGGGCTGACGACATCATAAAGGTTTCTGGGCAGAAATGGAACAGCTCCAAATAGCATAGACTAAGTGTGTAATAACAAAACTAACACCTATCTGATTTCTTTTATTTTTTTTATTGATATTTTATTGACAGAATTATATTAAAATAATAAAAGTTTTACCGTGCGACTCTAATCCCTAAGGCCTTGCACCAATAGTCTTTCCACGTGCACATTTAAACAATTGCTCATACGGTGAATAAAACGTTGTGAAAAAACCGTCATCCCTTAGTCCTAGAAGACGCGACGAAACAATATAATTATAATAATTAGTCATTGAAATATTCGTTAACAGGTAAAACTACAAAACATCATTTAATCTTAGTTAAGCTCGGTTTAACTGTGATTACTGAAATTTATTGCGACGCACAGCGCTTGGTAATGAGAAAATATAATTTATGGCCACTAGTGATGTATGTAATAATTATCGACCGGAAATCAAATTATTATTTAACAAAACGATACGATAAAGATTCCGAGAGATTTAGCGCAAACAATTGACTTCGTATCCATGTGGATTTTATATAGGAGATCACGCTATGGTTAGCTAAGTTAGCCTCTGAGGGTAAGGAATTAGCGCAAATGCCTCCCGTGTGTCAAAAACCTAATATATGTTTAGGTTTTGATATAGGTTAGGTTAGAGTTTTGACTTACAGCAGTCATATAAGCGCTAAGTAAATAAAAACACATTATAACAAGCACTTCATTACACGATTTCCTCGCGAAAGTCTAAAGTAAGCCTAAGCCAGGCCGAGATTCAATTTACATAGAATACGTCCTTGAGTATGGTGTAACCTGCTTTCATGATAGACCTCGCTGTATTTTAAGAATATTTAAAATTTAATAATAGAGCAGCGTTCATTAACCATATTTGGAGCTTCACATGATCATTAAAATATGCATAAAAAATTTCATTAGAATCTATCGAGCCGTTTCAAAGGAGTATGGGAACGAACATTATGACACGAGAATTTTATATTACAGAAAATGCAAACATAAAAATCGAATAGTATACCTGACGAAATGACAGTAGAATATTATATTTTTTATCGACATGTTAAGTCCGTCACTAGATAACGCACCGGAAATGAGGGTGGGTTTATTAACGCGTTACCTGTGTCACTTTTAACCCCTTCGCTTTACGGTTCAGAGTTAGCATAATTTAAACTGCAAAAAATGTTACTTAATAAGTAGTGTTGGCTTAGTGGGCGTACGACTCTCATTGCTGAGGATCCAGAGATCATAGACTCAAAACCCAATGGGCACGAATATACATTTCAGTCTATGTGCGTATTTAACACGTATGTAAGGTGAAGGATACAAGATATCGAGCAGTGTGGCTTCAGCGTGCGACTCTCATCCCTGAGGTCGTAGGTTCGATACCCGGCTGTCAACCAATGGACTTTCTTTCTATGTGCGTATTTAATATTCGCTGGAACGGTGAAGGAAAACATCGTGAGGAAACCGACATGTCTTAGACACAAAAAGTCGTGTCAGTCTCTGGAGGCTGATCACCTACTTGTCTATTAGATTGAAAAATGATCATGAAACAGATTCAGAAATCTGAGTCCCAGACCTAAAAGCAATACAATAGAACCTACCTAATACAATAGAATTCAGCCGGGACCTTTGATTTTGGTTAATATAACCGGTAAGTTATTCTAAACGATGTCGTCGTAAACGGTTTTGACTATATTGTATTACGTCACGCAATTTTTAGAGATTATTGACCTCCCCCCTGTGTAACGCGCCGTAACGTTTTTCTGTACCCAATAGTTAAACGTTTCGTGACCACCCAGTGACTTTTTATAGCTAAAAGTTACCATTATGTGCTGTAAAGTACTGGATAGTCGAAAATAATATTAACAATAACGCGTAATTCAATCCCCGCCACGCATCGTAACGTTTTACAAAAGGACCCCTCTCCCTCCCAAAATTCGTTACGTAATACTTGAACGCTCCCCTAACCGATTCTGTGTGCCTACGGGCAAAGGCCTCCCCCATTGTGTCCATTTTGCCTCATTGAATACCAATCTCATCCAGGTTTTAGTATTTCCAGCCATTCCATGATTACATCGGCCCACCTTTTAAATTTTCTACCTCTATTTCTTTTATGGCCTCTTGATTGCCACAAAATTTTGCTCCATTTATCTGCTTCTCTTATGGCCCATTTCCATTTTAGTTGTTTTGTTTTATATGCAACGTCAGGAAACTTATCTCTTAAATTATTGTTCCTTTTCAATTCTTCTTTTCTTTATAACACTTCTTTCTATGGCTCTCTGGGTTACGCTTAATCTTTCACATTGTTCTTTGGTTAGTGCCCATGTTTGGCAGCCGTATGTAACAATTATTAGGATACATATGTTGAAAAGTTTCTCTTGATGTGCATGTCTGTTTGACAATTTTTCATAACTTCTTTTAGGAACAATATCTCTTCCATGCATTTCCAAGTCTTGTGTCTATTACCTTCTTGTTGAATCATGCTTAGATAGTAGTTGACCTAAATATAGATATTCTGATACATAATTAATTTATTGACAAAGAATTAGTCTAGCTATTTAAAGGGGGAACGGTGCCCCTAAGTTTAGTTATTGCCCTTTGTTATATATTAATTTATGTCAGCAGTATTATATTATTTTTATTTTATTTAGAATAATAATAATGTTACTAGCAATTTATGTAGATACCATTTGTCTATGATGTTTAGAACATCAAAGGCAGGCGTTAATCTATTGTGTTCTCATCTATTTTTATTACTTTAGCTAAGACTATAAGTAATATTTAATTCGGACCATAGTCAAGTAATTTTCATTACAAAAGCCCGACATACCTTTTATAAAGTATTATTATAAGCTTCTATAAGTAGCTAACAATGGCCACCTGCAGTGGATTTATGCGCGCGAACGTTCGCTTATTAAATCATGTTTAATATTGTAAAATATATAGAGCAAGCGTTTTCCCACATTGGGATTAAGCACGTTAATATTAAAGTTTTGTTGACGATAGAACAAACTATAAACAATGTTTTAATGGGAAATCATTATGTTTAAATGTTCTTTTGAAAGATGTTATACAGGTATTTTGACAAGTTTTTAATAATCAAACAATGCAATAGTTTTTAATTCAGTTAATTATTTAGATATAAAAATTCATAATTTTTATAACGCGCCAAAACGCGCCTATGTAAAGCCGCGTATCGACTACGCGCTCCAAGAGGGCGAACATTGGCGCGCGCTCCAGCCGCGCGCAATGGATACCACTTTGGAACGCGCGCCAATGTGTTCGTTGGAGCGCCCGAACGCGGAGCGGTCCGTTCCGACGGGTGTCGGTTTTTTACCACGCATCAATCGTGGCGCGCGCGCCAGTTGGGGCGGACATATCGTATTTTTTTGTGTTTGTTGCGCTCCCAATTATGGATAACCAAAGTTGCCGTAAATTAATACAACTGTATGGTACAAAAGAACTACTGTGGAATAGCAAAAGTTCTTCGAATCATAATAAATCGCTGAGAGAAGATGCTTGGAGAGAAATCAGTAGTGAAATGGGAGTCCCTATGCCGGAATTAAAGAAAAAAATGACTGTGCTCCTATCATCGTACAGAAGAGAAAAATTGAGAGTATCTAAAAGCCAAATCAGTGGCTCTGGCTTTTCTTGTTTATAATACTGTGAATAATTACAAAAGCTGCTGCTGACTGGCTTCCATGATGAAGATTCGAACACTGGAACAGTTGCCACGCGCGCCAGGCGCGCT